CTGGGGTCAAAACTGGAAAAAATTTCCTATAAGCATATGTCCTAAACTCACTCGTTTTCTAGTTATACGTAAAAATATGTTTTTTAGGTTTTTTATGTATTTGTAGAACATTTTGCCCTCTAGATTGAAAAATTGACAAGATATTTTGATAAAACTTGCATTGATAGATAGAGTTTTAAATTTAAAAGACATTTAGTGCTATTTTTGGCAAACATGTTGGTTTTGAATGATAAAAAAGATTAATAATAATATATTTCTGAAAAAATCTTGATTTAAAATTATTTTTTACAGGTCTTCATGTAGTAACCATTCCAGTTTTTGGCTTATGACTTTACCAAAAGTTGTAGAATATAACGGAGAACAAGGAAATGTTAATTTATATATACCTTTTATTGGGATAATTTTTGTCAAAATATAAAAGCTTGTAAAATATTAAAAATTAATTAAACTAAGCATTTTAAAACAAAAATTTTTATTTAGCTTATTTTGTAAGACATCCTAATAAAAGTTGGTATACGGGTTCTCGTAGTTGATGAGTATTGTATAATGGCCTAAAATTTCCTTCTTTTTATTTTTAACGATAGAAAACAAGCTTACCCACTTTGCTATTTGAACCTTATGGAAAGAAAATAAAATACGATAGCTCGCATATTTCTGAACACCTCTTATTAAAACGTAGTATATCCCTTCTCTTGGTTGAGTAGGCCTACTTCATCATGATTATGGCCTAAAATCTGTTGTTTTACATTTCTGTTGCACGAAGCCTGCTTACTCCCATCCTTGAGGGGAAAAACAGTTATTCCAACTTTTTGTTTGTATAATGGACGTTTTAGCCTAATCCGCTAGAGATGAAATATATAATATTTCAAAAAAGTGTTTGTGATTATATAGAATATTAAATTTTAAAGAGCTACCATTACTACTTTGTGCAAAAATATTGACTATGGTAAAAAAATCTTTTGAAATCCAATACTTGATCCGAAAAAAAAACTAGATACGAAATATGTTTTTATTTTTGTAGCCATTAATACTGTAACCTTTTTAGCGTTGATCTAGCGGATATTTTATGCCATAATCATGTAGTACTCAACTAAAAAAGGGCAAGTTTTAATAAGATGTGTTCAGAAATATGCGAGCTATCATATTTTATATTTTCCCAATAAGGTTAACATAGGAAAGTGGGTATGCTTGTTTTCTATCATAAAAAACGAAAAAAGGAAATTTTACGTGATTATACAATACTTCTCAACTAGGAGAACCCATATACAAACTTTTATCAGGATGTGTTTTAAAATAAGCTAAATATACAATTTGTTTATTAAATTAATTTTTTATAATTTACAATATTTTAGATGTTGACAAAAATCACCCCAATAAAAGGTATTCATAAACTCACGTTTCCTTGTTCTCCGTTAAATTCTACAACTTTGGGTAAAGTTGCAAGCAAAAAGCTTAAATGGCTTCAATGATGAAGCATGGAGCATAAAGAGCTGTCAAAAACAAAAAATAATTTTTAATCAAGATTTTTTTGAAAATATTTTATTTGCAAACTTATTTTTATTAGTTACAACCAACATATTTGACCAAAATAACGAAATATCTTGTCAATTTTTCAATATAGAGGTAAAGCCAGATACACTGAAAACAAAAAAAACTATTTTTACGTATAAATAGAAAACGAGTGAGTTTAGAACATATGCATATGGGGCATTTTTTTCTAGTTTTGATTCAAGGAACCAATTCTCGAAGTTTGGCAGGGTTCCTGCGAAATACTTTGTATTAGTACATTAAACCACCTACCAAGTTTCTTTAAAATGCATTTATAAACAAGAAATATAAATATTATATATGTGTACTGTATAGCATATGAATAATTATTCTCCATAAGAATAACATGGGGGCTGAGTACGCAGGTTTGCTGCTACAGGAACACTTGGAAAATGTTTTTTTTTTTTTAAATATTAATAGACCACAACGAGATGAAGCCGTATAGCAAGTTCCATCAGTATACGTTCACAAATAAGCGAGGTGTACAACTTTTCTATCCCTCCATAAGAATAGCATTAGACAACGTACTGTCTTTAGCACTTTCAATATCTCGGTAACCAATTGGAGTAGAGAAATGATAAAAGTACCAATTTGTGTGTTTTTTTAAAGCTGAATCCTATGGTAATATAAAATTTTTGAAAATATTTTTAAAAAATTTGAATCTTTCAAACTTTAAATGTAAAATTCTCAAACCCCCCATTTTTGGGATACAAAATCCCCCCAAAACACCCCTTTGGATTAAGCGATCTGGCTGGTTTTCGAACTTTAAATCTGATATGCTACATTAATCGTTTGTACCAAATTTCATCAGAATCAGACCAATTTTACGTGAGTAATAGCTAATTTCCTGTAGGAGAAATTTGCTATATGCCGTTAGAACATTTTACGAAGACTGTGAAATTCCCGCACACACTATAATTGGGGAACTCTACATTTTTGTTCATTAGACCAAAGTAAAGCCATCCATGAAAAAAAAATCCACACTTTAATTTTTTCCTAGTCAAAATCTATATTTCCTGGACTATTAAGCCGTTAGAATTTATTTAAAGCAGCCCCCCAAATTTATACAAAACATCTATACATTGTAATTATCATACTGTTTCCATGAAAACATATCAATAACAATATTTTCATAACTTAGACGCTTTAAAAAATCCAAAGCAGAGCCGGAGTTGATACGGCAACGGTTATAGAATCTTTTTTTCTATAATCATTGACATAGTTTTAGAATAAATAATCCATGATTTAAGGTTAGATTAAACAAACCTACTTCATAGTTATGGAAAATATTATGTTTAATTTCTTTGTATCAGCTGTCTGAAATTGTGAAATATGCAGTTTAGCAGTTCTTCTTGTTTACTTTTAAATGTCAAAGCAAATGTAAACAAACATTGTTAGTGTTCTCATCGCAGCCATGGAGACCAATCAATATTTACTTTTAAAATGTTCACCTTAGAACTTAGAGCCAAAGGGGCAAAGCCTACGGTCAGTATCGAAATGTGAATAGTCCTATAATGGTCCTTGGTATGGTAGCTATATTTTTGTAAAATTTAAGCCTAGTTGGTTCAGTAGTTTTTGCACCTATTAGTAACACACATACAGACAGATACCATTAGATTTTTATATAATAGTATCGATATAGATATAGATGGGCCCCTGATTGTAACTGTCAAATTAGTATATGTATTTGTTTTGATTTGGTTGTTATTGTTTTTATTATTATAAAAACAATAACAATCAAATAAAAACAAATACATACTAATTTGACAGTTACAATCAGGTGATATTTTGTTTGCAATCCGAGTGACGTCAGAATTTGTGGGAATAGCACACCTATTTTTTTTCCTTCCACCATGACTGTAGATGATTTGCTATAAGCATATATGTTGCGTTGCAAGTCATTTATTTACATTTTCATTAAACTGTCTTGGCTACTCAGCTATCCATATGACCAATGTTAAAAATATTAAAATTTAATTTAAATTTTTTCACGATTAACAAATTACTAGTGTACCTGTTGCTCGAATTCGAGCAATTGTGAAGCATTACAGGCGTAACGAATAATGGTCATAATTTCCGATGACAGTATAAAAGTCAACTCAAAGATTATGGAAATACTTACAATGTACACAACAGTTAGATATAATCAAAATTGTTTGTAAACATCTTATCTTTTTTCAAAAGCTGATCTTGTTTTTTAGAGTTTTCTACAAATGTTTCCCACTCATAGCCGCATTAGGTTCTCTATAGATATCCCAAGAACAAAACAACCTGCGCAGAAACGAAAAGATCACGTGGTTCGTGCAGGTAGGTGTGGCGTACCATTCAAACCTGCGCGGCTCTAAACGGCCCAGGGTTCTTTTGTTTCTGGTATTACTATATAATAACGATTATAAATGAATAAAAAAACATATATTCTATTTCTTCCAATTCAGTTTTATTTTTAGTAGGCCTATATCAAATTGTCCAGGATTTCTCGTTTTTTTCCATTGTAATAATTACACCAACCCAAGTATCGTCTACAGATGCAATACGCCAAAGAATATCATCTACGTGCAACACGCCTACGTACAATCTCCAAGAAGTGGTAAAAAAGGCAGAAAACAACCCATACAATTAGACATAAGTTAACTCCATAAGAAATAATTTTAAGAGTTACTGTGATATTAGGATTTTCCACTGATTTGTATTGCACATTATAACATTACAACATCATATTGCAAAACATGACACGATGCAAAAGAAAATCAATTTTAAAATCAGAAAAAACCTTTGCAAATAAATACTTCATTTTGACGAATTCATTAGATCACAATTTAAATATTAACAGCTGTTTCATTAAAAAGTAGTGTAAAATTATACATATGGTCATAATGTAAACAAATCTGCTGAGGGGACTTTAAAGGCCTCTAAGGCAGAGCTCCAAGGGAATTTACCTTGTTTCTCTTTTGATGGCTCATCTACAGACCAAGACCTTTCTTTAGAGACCCCTACCAAGTTTCTACGCCCAGCCGTTCTCTGAAATTAGCTGTGACAAAATCCTGTTTTCCCCCATAAGAATAACATGGGATGGGAATTTAAAGGCCACTGGGGCAGAGCCCCAAGGGAATTTACCACGTTTCTCTTTTGATGGCTCATCTACAGACCAAGCCCTTTCTTTAGACACCTCTACCGAGTTTCTACGCACAGCCGTTCTCTCAAATTAGCTGTCACAAAGAAAAACAGTTTCAAATTAATATATAGATCCCAGAACAGAGGCTAGCATGGATATTGTTTTTAGCCTGAAACTATATAATTTCTAACAATTTAGAGGAAATCATTGGAGCCGATGTTTTTCGTGTTTTCAACAAAAATTAGGGAAAAACAATCATGGGAAACACAGTAAATATGAGGTGTGTTTTGTGTAACAATACTTGTGTTTCACACCAAATTAAAAAAACTATAAAACATCATTGAGAGTAGTAGAAAAATGTTTATTCAAATGGTACAATTATATCAACAACATAATAATTAACAATGAAACCATAATTTAAATCTATATATATATATAATACGTATTAATTAATGTCTGTGAAATGCACTCAAGGCTTTGTTAAAGGTTAGCACCGTCAAGTGACCCATTATCATCATCAAGTCCACTGTCACTCAATGACCCTCCACAATCTGCGTTGTCGCTGTTGGCAGAGCTGCTGTTCCCATCCATCACACTACTTCCTGTCCCAGACCGTTTCCTTTTTCTCTTTTTGTCCTTTCTTTTTTTCGTCACAAGTTTCTCCCAGTTTCTGTGATTTAATGTACACAGGTCCTCTACCGTAGCTATCTCCTTAAGGTACTTGGCGAGTTTCAACAGTTCTTTATCACTTGATCGATTGACATGAGCTTGCCGAAAGGCTCGAATACGAAGACCATTTGATGGGTTCATGAGGAAGTTGCGCCTGATATCATCAAACATGATTGTGTTTGCTGATGTGTACTGTGGAAATTTGCCCCAAATAACTCCGAGAGGCTTCACCTGTAAACACAACGAGCTAAGTTACTGGTTGAGCCAAGACTGAACCCAATTTAATGATGGTGTAAAATATTTATAATTCTACAGAATCATACTAAACATATTAATACTTTCTAGATTGTTTCAGTTTTATTATAATATTAAAACGTGACAGGGTTTTAGCGAATTTCCCCTATAGGGAATAAGCTATTACCATAGTACTCATGGTAAGACCTAGACCCGGGACCGATTTTCGTTTTGAGGTCCCTAGAGGCCAAAAACACCATCCGTTCAAATTCATATATATTTTTTTATATATGCGTCCGTAGTGCTTAAAAAACAAATAATTTAGGATATTGAAGCGTTATTATGCGCCTAAAGGTTACGGAGAAAATTCCAAAAATCTGTAAATTTAAAATTACCATGTTATTCTTATGGAGAATAAGTAAACTGTTGTAGTTTGCTTGTTCATGAACATATTTTGATCAAATTTGGAAAATGCATTCATTTCATACTAAACTATTAACATTTTACAAAAAAACACCTTTTTACACTCCTAACTAATGTTATTTAAATAGGTAATAAATGTGATATTTTTAAGGAGACATTTAGTGTAAATCCAATCAGGCAAATGGAAATTTCTTTTTGTCTGCAGGTTTCCTGGGGCGGGGGTATTTTTTATTTTCACGATTTAGAATCAAACACTTGACAGATTTCATGATTTTTGTGTTGAAAGGAAGGGGATATATTGAAGCCAAAGTTTTAGTTTAGGGTTTCATTTTTTTTTATTCGGTTTTAATTTTTTTCAGTCAAGCAGCCAACACTAACAATTTAAAGTCATTTCAGTGCTGGTTTAACTAACAGCTGGATCCATAACTGTCATTTAAATGTTTATGTTGCAGGTTATTTGTTTACAAAAATATTGATTATCGGTGTTTGCCTATACTGGGTGTCCCATAATTAGACAAACCCCCTGAGGTTCATTTTCAAACGGCTACATATATTCAAACAAGCTTCGATACACGTTACTGGGGTAATGTTAAGTACTTTTTAAGGTATTTTGAAATTAACCCCCACCCCCAAATAAGGGTTGCTGGGGGTAACTTAAAAGTTTTAAATAGCAATCCCTATCAAGTAGCACATCATCTTAAAGACCATTAGTTAAAAAGAATATCGGCGAAAACCAGAGGTGTCATTCTCAACGCATTACATTACAGCGGACATTTCGTATTTATCATCAGCCTTTGAGAGCCCATGTAACCATATACACCAATATCCCCTATTAGCATTTTTACAGGTTGTACCAGGGAAACTAAACTTATTATTGTTGTAACAAGAAAGTAAAAACTACTTTTTGATCAGTATGACAATTATGCCCTGGACCCCAAAATGGATTAGCCTATTGGCAGCTCAACATTTTTAAACATTTAGCCCCATCAAGTGACACCTTATTTTGAAGGTCTTTAGTTCAAAAAAATATCGGTGAAAACCAGAGGTCCCAACCTCAACCCAGTACAAAATGGTGGCAGTTTTTAGCTTTCATGCATTACATTTGACATTTTTGGGCTTCATTTTGCATTCCAAGGAGAAATAGTGAAACCAACTGAAATGTACACTGTTTGTCTTATGAAGAGATAAGCTTTCCTGGTACAGTAGGCTCCCTCTAGTTCGGCCACCTCGGGACCGTACTACTGGCCGGACTACAAAATGGCCGGACTAACCGAATGTAGTAGAACCTCAATTATTCAGGGTAATAGGGGGGAGGGAGACAACGGATAACTAACAACCACAAACATTTTATATTACATACCCATGAAAACGCCTAATACTGTATCAAATGAATATTAAAGATAATAACAACAGTCGTAAAATAAGATAAAGATATCAATGGATGAAGTAAAACACCACTTATTCTTTCTGTTTGTTCTTCATATTCTTTCTTTGGTTTCTCTTCATACACACATTCAACAAGTTGCTATGGTTACTATTCACCTAATCACAAACTGTTGTGACATAGCAAGCCCACAGCACAGCAGACGATTGTCAGTGCAAGCGATAGCTTGACCTTGAAGCTAATGGTGGCTATTTCTTGTTTTTGCTTCCATTTATTTTTGTTAAATCAACCGTGATGTTTCATAAACAATAATGGGGGAACCTACTGCATATAAAAAATGGTCAGAAATAGTTGAGCGGAGCGAGCGAAGCTCTTATACGTCGACTCTTGTGCATTTCGTAATACGCAAACTCCTCCTAGACGGCTGAATCAATCGTTTTCAAATTTTGCATGGTGATAAAGACCATATCGGTGAGTGCTAACATCTATATGGCGTTAAAAATGTCTCTCAGGAATCCGCCCCACTGGGTCTCAAAGTTTCAATGTAAACCTTATGGAAGCAGTATTTGACACATAAACAAAGACATGTGATCAGCTGTTGACTTTTGAATGCAGTAGATAAATAAATAGCTGATAGCATTATTCCACAAATATTAGAACAGAAACGTAATGGATCATAAATATAATCAAAGGACGACAATAGCTTGAGGTCCGTGACATAGAAAGTGGTGAAGGAAGTACTAAGTAGGTAAGTGGTGAGCAGACTGGAGTGTGGAAAATGTTTATGACGATTAGATTCAGGTATATGCATTCCTAAAATTTTATAGGAAGGGAGGAAAACGGGTCCGCGACGTAGGAAGTGGTGAAGGAAATAGTCAATGCGAGCTGTCCGGAGTGTGGGAACTGTTTATGACGATTAGATTAAGGTATCTGCAATCCTAAAATGCTATTGGAAGGGAAGGAAACAGGTCCGCGACGTAGGAAGTGGTGAAGGAAGTAGTAAAGGCGAGTTCTTCGCAGTGTGGGATCTGTTTATGACCAATAGATTAAGGTATTTGCAATCCAATAATGCTAAGGGAAGGGAGGTAAACAGGTCCATGTCGTAGGAAGTGGTGAAGGAAGTAGTAAAGGCGAGCAGTCCGGAGAGTGGGAACTTTTTATGACGATTAGATTAAGGTATCTGCAATCCTAAAATGCTATGGGAAGGGAGGGAAACAGGCCCGTGACGTAGGAAGTGGCGAAGGAAGTAGTAAATGCGAGCAGTTCGGAGTGTGGGAACTGTTTATGACGATTAGATTAAGGGATCTGGAATCCTTAAATGCTATGGGAAGGGAGGGAAACAGGTCCTAGACGTAGGAAGTGGTAAAGGAAGTAGTAAATGCGAGCAGTCCGGAGTGTGGGAACTGTTTATGACGATTAGATAAGGGATCTGGAATCCTAAAATGCTATGGGAAGGGAGGGAAACAGGTCCGAGGCGTAGGAAGTGGTGGAGGAAGTAGTCAAGGCGAGCTGTTCGGAGAGTGGAGACTGTTTATGACGATTAGATTAAGGTATCTACAATCTTAAAATTCTATGGGAAGAGAGGGAAACAGGTCCGCGACGTAAGAAGAGGTGAAGGAAGTAGTAAGGTGAGCAGTGTGGAGTGTGGGAACTGGAAACCGTTTGTAGCAGTTAGATTAATGTATCTGCAATGTTGAAATGCTATGAGAAGGGATGGAAACATCCCCACGACATAGAAAATGGTGAAAGAAGTAGTAAAGGCTAGCAGTGCGGAGTATGGGGAATGTTTGTGGCAATTAGATTGAAGTTTTAGATTAAAATACTATATTGCTATGGAAAGTGATGAATACGGGTCCACGATGTAGGAAGTGGTTTAGAAAGTAATAAAGTATGAGCATAGTGTGAGAACCGTCCGTGGCAGTTAGATTAATGTATCGTTAATCCCAAAAAGCTATGAGAAGGGAAGGAAACAGGCCCCACGACGTAGGAAGTGGTGAAGGAAGTAGTAAGGACTGGCAGTGCAGAGTGGGGGAACCGTTTGGGCAGTTAGACAAATGTATCTAATACTTAAATGCTACGAGAAGGGAAGGAAACAGGTCTATAACGTAGGAAATGGTGAAGGAAGTAGTAAGGCTTGCAGTGCAGAGTGTAGGAACTGTCTTCACATCAACACAACACATCAACTATCTGACAATCACATTAATGTATCTGCAATCCTAAAATGCTATGGGAAGAGAGGGAAACAGGTCCACGACGTAGGGGGTGGAGAAGCAAGTAGTAAAGGTGAGCAGTGTTGAGTTTGGGAATGGATTAATGTATCTGCAATGCTAAAACGCTATGGGAAGAGACTGTAGACTGTAGGTTAAAATGATTACGAAGTACGAATCGATACATATTTCGATACATGCAATCGTTTACAATAGAAATTTTAAACTGAGTTGACAACAGCTGATTTTTACTCCATAGAGGCTAAAAACGATTTTTGCTCCCTAAAGAGTAAAATTGCTACTTTAGACCCGCAACGTATGCATTAAAAACGACTGTTTTTACTGCAGTATGACAAAAACAATATAATATTAACCCTTGATGACTCCCCTCAATTTTGTGGATGCCTCTGCAAACGCCACCTAGTTAATTATACAGTGCATTTCAACGTATTATACTGAAGAAAAACAATGTAAAATGTTCTTGGTATTTTTCTATTTTTCGGGTTATGTAACATAGTTTATCACAGGTAATATGCAAAAATTCTCCAATAGAAGCACCCTTCAACTAGACTGACACTTCTACGCCGGAAACTAAACATTCAAGTTGAGTCCTGTCGAAGGTCATTCGCCCGTGATGATGTGACTTGTCCCCCTGAGACCGGGCCGGACCATCCGGCGGCCGATCCAACCGAAGCCGAACTAGAGGGAGTCTACTGTACAACCTGATAAAATGGTAATTTGGGTATTATAATGCATTTTTATGTGGGGTCTCTGAGGTTGATGAAAGCTAAAAACTGACACCATTTTATATTGGTTGGAGATAGGGGCATAGTTTTCACTGATGGCATTTGAAATGAGGTGTCACTTGATGGGGCTTTATATTAAAAAATGTTGAGCTAACCCCAAAATGGGGTATTTTTTGTCATATAGATCAAAAAGTAGTTTTTACTTTCTTGTTACAAATTACAATAATAATGTGTTTA